ATTGTCCAACTCTCTGATGCATAACAAGTGATTGCAAAGACCATAGCCTGTATCAGATGCACCTTAGTCTCCAGAGTGACACCATTGCTTTTTAGTACCCTGAAGAGGTCACTAATAGCAGACTTTTCCATCGCAATACATTTTTTTTCAATTTCCTGGCTACTAGTGCCAAGAGTGTTGACCATGGAGCCAAGCAGACCAAGGTTGTTAATCTCAACCTCTTCACCATCCATCTTGATGCTGCCAATTGGTTCAGTGGGGAGAATCTTTGTCTTCTTGACATTAAGCCTCAATCCATACTTAAGCCTGCAGTCCTTGACCCTCTGCAGCAGGTGCTTCAGGTCTTCCTCAGTTTTAGCAAGTAGGGTTGTGTCATCAGCATAACACAGATTGTTAATAGATCTTCCACCAATGCTGACACCACACTTCTCATAGAGCCCAGCCTCTCAGATAATCTGTTCTGCATACAGGTTGAAAAAGTAGAGAGATAGGACACATCCCTGGCATACACCTTTCCCAATTTTGAACCATGCAGTGTTTCCCTGCTTTGTTCTGACAACTGCCTCTTGGTCCAAGGTTTCACATTAGAACGATCAAGTGTTCTGGGATTCCCATTTTTCTCAGACTCAGCCACAGTTTGTTTTGATCCACACAGTCAAACGCGTTTGCATAATTAATAAAACATAGATAGACATTCTTCTGGTATTCCCTGGTTTCAGCCAAGATCCATCTAACATCAACTACAATATCCCTAGTACCACGACCCCTCCTTTTAAACCCAGGCTGGACATCTGGCAGTTCTCTGCTGATGTGCTGTTCCAGTTGTTTTTGGATAATCTTCAGTAGAATCTTGCTTGCATGTGAAATCAATGACATTGTTCTTCTTTGGGATGGGAACAAATATAGTTCTCTTCCAGGCAGTTGGCCAAGTGGTTGTTCTCCAGATTTTTTGGCACAACTTGGTGAGCATATCCAGGGCAGCATCTGTTAGCTGAAATATGTCAATTGGTACATCTATTCCTGAAGCCTTATTTTTTTGCTATTTCCTTCAAAGCAACTTGAATTTCTTCCTTCATCACCACAGGCTCTTGCTCATATATTCTGTTCTTCTACAGAATATAATAGTTCAATTTAAAAATACATTATAGATTTAAAAAAAGATAAAGAAATAATGTGTTGTACAAATAAGTAATAATTTTGTCTTTTTGTGTTTATGTTTAAAAGAGTATGGGTTACTTGTCTGTGCAAAGCATTCTTCATATATTGCATCAGGTTGCTATAACAGGAATGTCAGTCAGCTTAAAGACAAGGTGGGCCATGGAGTTTATCTTTCAGTGAAAGTTTGCCAGTCATTATTTCTTGTTTGTTTGTAGACTGACATGAATATGTGAATGGGGCAGGTTAGCTTATCCACAAGGGACTGGCTATCTACCATTCTACAAGAGAATTGGCTAGTCTTGCCAATAAATCTAATAGCTCTAGCCAGAAGAATCAGAATCCTCCACAACTAGAGAAGAGGAAAGAGTCTTTCCCCACCCTGGTATAAAGGAGGCAGGAAATATAGGACACATTTCAGGACTTCAGCATCAGCTGTGGCTGAACTGGAGAATGGATGTGGGAAAGGATTTGGGCAGGGGGTAGGAAGGGGCCACGACAAGCCAATATTGTCAGGACTGAGAACTTGAGAACAATGGCCTAAAGACATGAGGCTCAAGGCTGAAATGCCTGTGTGCACATTTCAGGAACTGTCTTGGCTGTATTCTTTTATTAATCTGATTAATAAACTTTTAACTTTCCCCATAATGGTCCTGAGTGGCCTGTAAGCTATCAAACCAGATTTTTTGACACCTCAAAGCAGCAATTAGTATTGATATACATAGAAAGAGATATGTGAGCATACAGGGCATCTCTGAATTCCTAGAAATTGGTTTAGTGTTATTGATCCTGTAGAAAGGGACAGTTCTCTTTTGTGAAGCTGATAAAGGACAGACATGGCCATCCCTATGCAGCTTTTGAGTTTTTTACATGGACCTTATCCATGTCATGATATTTCAACTGTTTCATATGCATATGAAAGTTGGATAGTGAATTAGGAAGATTGATTAAATGATTCATTTGGATTGTGGTGTTGATGAATAATATTGAATATAGCATGGGTTGACCAAAGAACAAGCAAATCTGTCTTGAGTGAAGAGTAACCAGGGTGCTTTCAAGAAGGAAGAATGGTGTTAGTTCATCTCACATATTTTTGGGCGTATTGTTAAGAAATACCAATATTTGAAAATGGCATCATGCTGAGAAAGGTAGAGGGTTAGATGAAAAAGGAAAGAAAACTTCATCAAGATGAATTGACACAGTGATTACAGCAACGACCTTGAACATAGTGAGGATATTAAGGATGGCACAGGATAGGGCAGAATTTCATCTGATGTTCATAAGGTAACTTTAAGTCATTATTGACTCAACACTACCTAACATCAAGGATGTATGCATGTTTGTGTGTTGCTGAGTACAAGAAATGAAAATAGTCCTTTTAGTTTAATTGAGTAAAAAACTAAAATTGCACAAACCCAACTACATATCATTTCAAGTGGTACTATGAGCTATTTAAAATTTAATAGCATTCAATTACATGAAAAATACATGAAAGAGTACATCACTTGCTTGTAGTTAAAATGTTTTCTGGATAATTAATTGGAAATCCAATGTATAATCTAGAAAGGGAAATGCTAATGAATGAGTTTCCCCCTCCATCCTCACTAAAAGAAATAAGACAGAATTGAGTGATGTTTCATTTCCTAATAATTAGCTGCTTTGTTTTCTTCTCTGTGTTCTCTCTCTCTCTCATTTTTTTTAACAGCTGCATGTGGAGGGAATCTTACTGGTCCAGCAGGTGTTATTTTATCACCTAACTACCCACAACCATATCCTCCTGGGAAAGAATGTGACTGGAGAATAAAAGTGAACCCAGACTTTGTCATTGCCTTGATATTCAAAAGGTACCGTATCTTGTAAATATCTCTACTTAGTAGAATTATAAATGTCATACCTAAAAATGACTTCATTTAGCATCCTAATGTTATTTCTAACTAAGCTCAAGATTTGATGCCTAAAGGGTGCTACTACATGAGACTACAAAATGGCTTCACTGGAAATGCATTATTTTGCCATGGAATATTTTATTTATTATAATCAGTTTCACATATTAAATCAATAATTATTTTTAAAATTAACTTTCAGACCATATATTCCAGATAAGGGCTAAATTAGATAATATTTAATAATAGTAATGAAAAGAATATGACTATATTTAGTACAATACTTTAATACCTTGTATTTCTCTTAAGTATGTAAGTTATCTCTATAGCATACATTATGTAACATCCTCTAAATTAATATCATTATTAAGATAGGAAGCTAGTCAAACCAAAGGCAGGTGCTTCAAATTCACTATTTGCTCCATGGGAGAAAGATGGGCGATCTCCTATCATAAGATATACAGTCTCTGAAAACCCACTGGCATGTCAACTATGAGTAGGTTTCAACTCTGCAACACATAACAATATAAACACATAAAATTAAGATAGTAATGACTTGCTAGAGATTTGAGGAGGAAAGCTCTCCAAATTTTACTAGATTAGAGTCTGAGTTATTAGCTAAGTCCCTTTAACAGCTTTAGTTCCTTCCTCCTACCTAGAGGAGAAACGTTCCAGTATTCGGTTATTTTATAAAAGTAAATTTGTTAAGACTATCACATAATTATAATCATATTACATATAATAATTTTATTTTTTTAGTCTCATCATCTTTTCCAACTTTATGTTTTTACTATTGAAGCAAATGAATGTAATATATGAAGATGTGAGTCAAAATGTCCTATCAATTTTGTTCTAATCAGAGAAAAGTAGTCTAATTACTTTTTTGTCAATTTAACAAGTTTCCATTTTTTGTAGATATTTACATCAATACCCAAGTCCCAGATGTGTTTATCTGCTTTACTCTCTCCTCCTGATCAGTTCTGATTCAGTAATTGTAAATCTTTATGACTTTGAATTTTAAGCAGCTTAATAAGTTATTCCCTGAATTTGCAAATTCTTCTGTACTTTTACTGAGTAAATATCCTGTTACCAAGCTTTGCTTTCTTTTTTATGCTAAATTATGAAGTGCTTTCATTAGAATAAGGAAACATCTCGTTTATCTATCTATTAAGAATAAATAAATAAAAATTAGTACCCCACTGATTAAAATAGAGGCTAGTGAGCTTTCTTACCTTCCATTGTGAAAGGGACTGTTTTCTAAAGCACTGATGTTTTGACACATGTGACTGTTATATAATGGCTTTCCTGCCACATTTTGTATACAGCTCATGAAGCAGGTAGAACTAGAAATTTTCCACTTAGACAAAACTGATGTCACAAAATGATTACTTATCCATTGTTTCTACTCTTATCTGGTAAACTTTTGTGGGTTGAAATTATGCTAGGACCTCAACAACCGTATGATAGTGTATTATGGTTATCACAAGAGCCCACAATTAAGGTTGCATAATGGAATGTACTTGGGGCAGTAGGAGGGGTGCGGGGGATTGTGTACCAGGAAGGAAGTCTTTCTATTACTTTTGAAAGAGAGGAGCGAACTGGGGGGCGGGGGAAGAGGGCTGGGCGGGTAGAGAAGTGCAACAAAGAATCCAAATTCTCTGTAAATGTTCATTAAAATTATTAAAAAAGTTATTAAAAAAAGATACCACTCAGAAGATTTTAGGGTTCATTCTACATTATATGACTTTGTTAATGTAATTGATAAGATCTACAGTTCTGTGCAAGTAACAGATTAGAACTGGTGTATGGAGTTTCTGATCTATAAATCCTTAAGTGAGTAGGCTAGCACATTGCTCCCTACGAAGGGCAAGTGGGTTCAAATCACTAACTTTTTTATTAGTGGCTCAATGCTTAGCCTTCAGTACCACCAGGAGTCCATTTGGAAGATCTACATTATTTAAAAATGTAGCATTATTTATGCCAATCCTGGAAAATAAATCTTCAATTTTAAAAAACAAACAAAACAGGCAAGGTGATCACGAAGTGTTAGAGAGTTGCACAAGAATGTTCAACTTCCTAAATATAGCGATTGATACTAATGGGCATCCATTATATTGCATCCAAACAGCAAAAGAAAATCAAATATGTTTTCTCCTGTGCTTTCTCGTGTTTCCAGTGTTAAATAAATAATATATAATATTAATCACCTGTAGCCCATGCTCATGAGTAATTCTGACTTCAGTGAACTTATTAAATAAATAGGATATGACACTTTCTCCCATTTATTGTAACCAATATATCCAGATAGGTTGGCTTAGATTGTGTGTAGGCTTCACATAAAATGAAACACTACCATGCAGTCCTGGTTTTAACTGTTGCTGGACTCATGATCATCTCTGTATTTGGTTGTGTCATTAAGAATGCTGTGGGAAACTTCAAAAGTTCTAATTATATTACTTTAATTTTTAGATAAATTGTAATCACTTAAAGAATATTATTATATGCTATCATGTCTGAAACAACTTATATGTCAATTAGCTAACCCTCCAGTGGGTTTTCAGAAGCTATAAAACACAGAGAAGTACAGGGCTCATTTTTCTCCTATGGAGTAGCTGGTGGATTTGAAATGTGTACATTGGGGTTGACAGTGCAACTCCTTACCACTAAGCTATTAAGGCCTTCTACTCGAAGAATAGCACAAGCATAAAATAAACAAAAATATAAAATAGAATAGCATAACTACAAAAATCATTTTACCACTTAGCCAGTTACACTTTCAACTAAATGGAAGGGAATGGAATTGAGACCATGCTAGTAATGAAAAAAATCCTCCACACAGTAATCAGAGAAAAAGTGGAGGAAACAATCAGAATATGTTGTATAACATTTCTTTCCAATCTTTTTGTTATTTCTTCTGATCAGCAATATCTAAAACATCTGAATTAAGTTTAATCTTTAGAGTATGTGTCATGTTAAAGGTCCTGGACTTTGCCAGACTTTACATCATAAATAGCATAAACATATAAAGTAGCATACCTCTTGGGAGTTAAGGGTTTTTAGTGTTAGACTCTTGGTGATTTAACGAGGAAAAAAGCGGGATCCCTGTTTTGACTACTAAAAAGGGAGGTTTGGTAGCTTAGTGTTGAGGAGTTGCTCTGTCAATTGGAAGTCAGTAATAACAAGGGTGTGTATTTTTAAAAACTAAAGTGAAACACATAAAATATTGAAGTTTAGTAGAAAGTAATTCTTTTTCAATTTTAGTTCTACCCACAACTTCAATTTTATAAGGAAAAGATATTATATTATTATTAGAAATTATTTTTCTAAAGGAATGCTAAAAATCTTCTTGAATATAGTAGTAATGTAACTGATAATAAATGCTATATTTTAAAATAAAAGTTTCATATATTTATTACTACATTAACATTTTATTGTTGCTCTACTTTTTCATTGTCCCAGTTTTCTTAATAATTATGCAAAATAAAGCCTTAGTAGCACAGTGGTTCAAGTATTCAGCTAAGTAAAAGGTCAATGCTTTGTGTATTCACTATCCATATCCAACAAGAACGACTGGGCAATATACTTTTGTATAGGCTTAGAACCTTGGGAATCTAACAAGAAATTCTAGTCTTTCTTTTATATAGACCTGGAATCTAGAGTCACTAACAGTGGGATTATTTAGGTGACTATACAGAAGAACTATATACACCTGTAGAATCACATGTACTATGTATTCTGGAAGAATTTAAAAAAAAGAAAAAATATAAATTAAGTGTATAACATAATTTTTTTTTTTTAGTTTCAATATGGAACCTAGCTATGATTTCTTACATATCTATGAAGGAGAGGATTCAAACAGCCCTCTCATTGGAAGTTATCAAGGCTCTCAAGCTCCAGAAAGAATAGAAAGTAGTGGAAATAGTCTTTTTCTTGCTTTTCGGAGTGATGCATCAGTGGGCTTGTCAGGATTCGCCATTGAATTCAAAGGTATTGTGGTCAGTTTAATTACTTTTAAAATTATTTGTCAGTTGGATTTGGTTTTGTGTAGACATATTTATTAATTATTTCTTTATGTGTTTATTTTATAAAACTCTGATTGAATATTTGTGGAGAAAACCTCCACAAGCTAAAGAAGGAAGAAAAGAAATGTATACAACTTTGTAATCAATAGAATTAAACCATGATTTGTGTAATGAAGAATTACAAGAAATTTAAGAATTACTTTAAAATTTGTTTTAATGTTTTCTATTGTTTTCAGGATGACTATACATGTATACATTTAACTGTCTTAGTGTTTTCTATCTCTTATATGTTTTCTAATGTGCAAAATATTTTTCCTTTCCTTTCTCTCTACTACTATGTGTTTTGGTTTCATTAAGGACTCTGTCTCTTCTCTTTGCTACTTCTTAGGTTATCACATCAATGTTTTCTAAATTTACCTGAGATTTGTCTTCTGCTGTCATACATTTTCAGGGAATACAAGGTGACAAACACATAAACAAACAATATGTACCATAAGGTCCTTTAAAATAAAGTATATAGCTCTGTTGGTGTATCGTTCATCAGAGTTGCACTGCTTGCACAAAACATTGGATTTCTTTTTCAGTTCCTTTATCTTGAGAAATGCTGAGTTCTCCTTTCTGCCTCCACACTCTTCTGACTGCACATTTTGTTATAATACATTTTTTGTCTTCAAATACTGCCCTTTGAAATCTTCTGTTCTGTTCTTGAACTTCCTTATTTTTTCTCTTTGTTTTGGCTTCTCAGTATTCTAGTGCAATTTTCAGTCTCCTTCTGTTGTTCATATTTGTCTTTTCTTCCTCCTCTGTTTTTGTTATGACATTTTGTTTTCTTCAAGGTTGATGATTCTGATATCATCCCATAGATTATCTCAGTTTGTTTATTAGTACTCAATACCTCAAGCTTGTTTTTAAGGGGTTTTCAAATTCAGATGAGATGGACTCAAGGTCTGTCATATTTTGGTTTTGGTGTATTTGTTTTCATCTTCTTTAGCTTCAGTTTGAACTTGCATGTCAGCACCTGGCCTGCTTTTCACAGCTGATTTTCAGGTTCTCCAATGATTCTTTCCTCAGAAATAATCAGTCTGATTCCTGTGTAGTACAATAAGTGAGGTCTAGGTGTATAGTTGGCCATTTGTGTTTTTTTTTATAAAAGATATTTGCAATGAATAAATCATTGATTGTACAAAATTCTATAATTCTCTCCAGCTTCATTTCTGTCATCAAATCTGTATTTTCCAACTACTGATCCTTCTTTTTTTTCTCAACTTTTGCATCACTAATCATTACTGAATCTGATCAATTTTAGACTGCAGACGTTTGTATAAGTCTTTTATTTCCTCCTCTTTGGCTTTAGTTCTCAATGCATATATTTGAATTACGTATTAACAAGTTTTCCTTGTGTGTATATGGATAGTATTCTCTCACTCATAACATTGTACTTCAGGATGGATCTAGACATAGTCCTTTTGAGTATGAATGCAACTCCATTTTTTTTCTCACTTTTTCATTCCTGGACTAGTAGACCATATGAGTCTCTGATTCAAAGTGTCCCGTACCAATCTAAGTTTACCAATGTCTAGTGAATATGTCTATGTTCTATTTCTTTTTTAATAATGTTCAATGTTTCCACATTCATACTTTGTATGCTTGACATTCCAATTATTAGTGTTTGTTTGCAATATTCCCGTTCATTTTTGTGTTTCCCATTGGAGGATTCACCTCTAGTAGTAAATCTAATAATCTAAGTGTACTCCATTGCTCATAGTATTTGTCAAAGTCTGTTGTGTCAGAAGTGTTTGGTTAATTCTTCCTAGTCTTTCTTAATTTGGGAGCTCTTCTCTAGTATAGCATCTGATAACCAACTTCTATCCTCCAAAGAGTAGATAACAGACAAGCAAACATACATGAATCTAAGCTATTAAGAGCAACAAAATGCAAAGAGACTTCTCCAATACAAAACCTTAAAATTTAACATTGGTTTTCTTCCACCAAGGGCCGTAAGGCAAGGCTTCTAACTGTTCCTTAATATGATGGCTCTGGCTCCAGTTTCTCCAGTCCTTTATGTGGCTGCTTATGTTCTGTGAAGATGGCACTCTGGGCCTACTGGCCCACCTCCACCAAGTATGACTTGATGCTGCTGCTCATGATCTTTCCAGCATGCATCTGGATTTTACATACTTCTGTTGTGATATGCTGTCCAGATGACTACAACTCATAGTGACCTTAAGCCCAATAGCTCTGAAACTTGCCCAGTCCTGAGCCATCTCACTGTTTCTAATACACTTGTCCCTGTTGCCACAGTCACTGTATCAATCTGTCTTATCTAGGATCTTCCTCTCCTGCATTGACCCTCTGCCCTTCCAAGCATGATCATGTCCTTCTCCAAGGACTGCTCCCTCTTGGCCACATGCTCAAAGTACGTGAGGCAGAGCATATAAACTCTTCATTCCAAGAAGCAATCTAGCTTCACCCTATCCAGAGCAGACCTGTTTGTTCTTTTGGCAGTGCATGGTATTTTCAATACTTTACTCCAGCACCACAAGTCAAAGTTACCAATTTTTCTCCTATCATCCTTAATCATTGTCTAGCTCTTGATGCATAGCAAGTAATTGTGAAAACCATAGCCTGGATTAGGCACATCTTATGCTTAGCTAACTGAATTAAACATTTACTTCTATGTAAAGTTTTGTCAATATTGGAAAGAGTATTAGACAAGAAAATAAAAGATATATTTTTATTCTCATTAATTATTTAATGTGGTTTTAAAATTATAATTTGAATGGGGGTTTACATAGAAATAGGCTTTTCATTTTCTCATGTATACAGATTTATATATTCTGCCCTCTGCCTTCATTCCCTCACACATGTGCTGTATGAACTTATCCTTATAATGTCTTATCGCTCCTTCTTTTCAGAAATCTCTGCTTCACCTTTTCTATCCATTGTCTTTCTGTTCTCTTCTCCTCCTTCCGTCTCTACTGCCATGTAATCTTCTTGATTTTATAACAGTGGTCTCGTACTGTACTTGTCCTTTGTAACTAAGTTAATTCATTCTCATTTTCTTTAGACTCATCTGTGTTATATAGTGTTTGTTGAGAGTTCCAATATTTTCAATGCTGCCTAATACTCCATTGTCTGTATATACCATAGTCTCTCGATCCATTCATTTGTTGATGTACATTTGATTTGTTTCCATCTCTTTGTTATTATAAATAATGCTATAATAAAAATGAGTATGTGTATGTGTCTGTGTATGTGTGTGTGTGTGAGAGTATTTTATCTCTGTTTTCTTCGAAGTAGATTCCTAGTAGTAGAATAGCTGAGTCAAATGGAATTTCTATTTTCAGTCTTCTGATTAAGTGCTAGAGTGAATGCCTTCCATAGTGGCCATATCCTTTTGCATTCCACCAACAATGCATGAGGTCCCCAATTCTCTGCATCCTCATCACCATTTATTATTCATTTCCCTATTAAACCTTGCCATTGTTGCTGAAGTGACATAATATTTCATTGTTATGTTCTCGTTGTTATGATTTGCATCTCTAATATCTAGTGATCTCAAACATAACTTGATGTGATATTTTTCCCCTTCTGAATATTCTTTTTTTTTTGTGAAGAGCCTTTTCATATTTTCTTTCTATTTTGCTGTTGAGTTGTTTGCCTTCTCTATGTTGGTATGCTGAAGTATTCTATAAATTTTTTATCATGAGTCTAAAATATCTAAAATATTTTTCTAAAAAGAAAGTGCAACCAGGGTAGTTCTTTGAAGCAAAAATAGTGCAGCTTCATCTCACATATAATGGGCATGTTGTTAGGTGGCGCCAGTTCTTGAAGAAGAATATCATGCTTGGAAATGTAAAGTATCAGAAAAGGTGATGAAGGCCTTCAACAAGGTGGATTGACATGGTGACTGTAATCATGGACTCAAGTATATCAGAGATAGTGAGGATAGCACAAAATAGAGCAATGTTCAGATTTGTTATTCATGGGGTAACTCTGAGCTGTGGTCAACTTGATAGCACATTAACAATAAGAAGTAGAGTATTATTATATTTTCTTATATATTAAAATTTACAACCATATGTCTGTTTCTTAAAACATACCAAGCAAAGATGTATGCAATTCATTAACTAGAGAAGTATTTCCAGTGGATTTTTGTACATGAATTGCACACTCATTGAAAACCAAAGTACAGGTTTGTAAGCATTCTTCATGCTAGTAGTTATATTCTGTAATAACAATAACTCACTTAATTGCACTTGGCTTTGATAGCATCTAATTTATAATGAGTCAGAAAAATTAACAAATCCATATAATTGTAAGAATGTATATTTATAAATGCCATCTCAACACCTAGTATACTCCCTGGTATATAAAGATGTTTGGAAATCTTTTTTTTATGGCAATAAAGATTAATCAGTAAGTACTAATATATATTTTTCTATTTTTATACTTGCAAAAATAAAAATATTAAGAGTTACAGTAGCCATATGAAGAAAATTCTAGTTCTCTTTTGTCTTATTATTTTTTTTATAATAAAAAAACCCCACATCTAAATGGAGTTTCTACTCATTTAAAGTTTTGCAATGAAGTCTGTACAAAATAATCAAGAAAAGAGAACAGGATAAAAAAAGAAAAGAGAACAGGGCAAGAATGATGATGACTGCATCCAGCAAGAACAAGCTCATGCCATGGTCAGTTAAGGAGGTTGCATAACGAATTTGTAATCATGTTGAGAAATAGAAGGAACAACAGGGCAGTCATGCTGTGAAAAAAATATAAAGGATCTGGCAGATTCAATCTATTCAGCCTCAAGTGTAGGAATATTCAAACATAGTCTTAACTGGAATGGACATGAACAACAGTAGAGCACACCATATTATGAAGTCATCTAATTAGAAAACATGACAAATTGTTAGCAAAAAAGTACCAATGATTTATCACCAAATATCCTGAACTGACAAGTAGGTAAATGGAACCAAAAGATTGGATGCAGTTCATTTAAGTGAAAACCTGCCAACAGAAATAGAAACTAGTAACATAAAATAGGATGTTTTCGGATTGGTATCTAATGAAACAGTAAAGTAAAAGAAATGAAGACATTTCAAATAAAAGGTTGAAAATACAGCAAATATATCCAAATGCATGTACTTAAGAGCTGTTAATTTTTCATAGGCGGGACTGTCTCTGTTAGAATTGGTAGAGCAGGGTTAGGGAGCAGAGGTATGTCTGACCTCATAGGAATAGATGTGCTGCTGACATAAATAGAGACCGTTCCCTTTCATAGAGTTAGAGGAAGGCAGAATTTGCAACACCCACTCCTTTTACACTATTATTACAAAAATTCACATTCTTAATATTTTATATTATTCTATTTTTAATTTTATTATTTTTTGTGTGTGTTCTGTCAAATTGGATCTGACTGGTACAGAATGAAATTGCCCCTCCTTCTCCAGCAGAGCATCTGGGATTACAGTGCAGCTTCTTGACATTAAGCCACTAGAGCTCCCTCATTCTTAATATTTTAAATGGGAAAAATTATCAAATTAAAAGGGAAAATATTATATTATTTTTTCACTCAGTTGTTTTGAGCTTCCCTCAGTAGAGTTTACTCCGAACTCCTCCCCCTCCTCACACACACACACAAAAAAATGCTATGTCATGAACGTAATGAGAATAAAAAGGGGGGGGGAAAAGTGGTGCTCTAATGGGTAGAGAGTCGCATCTTAACTCCAAAGAGAAGCAGTTCAAATTCACAAGCTAGTCTATATGAGAAAAGTGGGCAATCTCTTCCTGTGCTATTTACAGCTTTAGAAAACCCCTTGGAGGACTGCTTCCTTCTGAATTGGTTCTGAGTTGACAATGATTGAGTGGTGAGAAAATGAAGGCAGAAAGAATAAGAGGAAGACTTCAAGATGATCACTTGAAGATCTGAGTAATTAAGTTCTAAAGGTTGATGCTTGTTTACTGTATATAAATTAAAAGCAATTCAAGTGGAATATTATATAATGGAAACATATCTTTTCCATTTTATTAAGAGATATTTTAGATCTGTTGAAATTGAAAATTGAAAATATCAAAACCAGAAGATAATTTGAATTCACTATATAGCAACAAAATTCAAGATTTAAAAAGCTGTTTTTATATCATGGCAGGGATATAATATGACTTGTTTCTACAGTGGAGCTTCAAATACTTCAAATTTAATATGAGAATAGTAATAGTTATAATGTATATGCAGAGCTGTAGTAATAATTAAAACTAAAAATATACATACACCTAAGCCAGGATCTAATTTTTTTTTAATATTTTTTTTGTGTGTATATAGTCAAATCGGATCTGACAGGTACAGAAGAAGATTGTCCCTCCTTCTCCAGCACAGTATCTGGTGGATGTGAACCATGCTCTTCTGGAGTTGCAGTTTAGCTTCTTGCCAGTAGACCACCAGAGCTCCCTGCCAGTGTCTAATATTTATTAGCCCTGATACATTTAAGCTCAATAAATTCAAGTCTTTTACATAGATTTTAATTTAATTTAATCCAAAGAAAATATCTTGTGATTGTTGAGTCATTCTGAGAACTAGTGACCATCCTTCAGTATTCTGAAGGAGAGGATCTTGACTATTTTTCTGAGTCACTAGCAGATTTGATTGAACCGAAAATTTGGATCTTTGTGTTAGTAGTACAACTTGCTATAGACTATAGCGCCAGAGACCTTCTTAATAAGAGATCCTTCTTAATAAGTTTTTAGTATAAAGAATACCAAAATCTCTAAAACTGGACTAATAATTAACATTTCAATAAATGAAAATACTGAAGTTGTTCTTCTTGCAATCATAGTCAGATCCTATAGAAGCAGCAGTAAAGAAATAAAATGACATGTTGGATTGTCAAATTTTCCTCAACAGATTTCTTAAAAATGTTGAAAAAATGACATTTTGAGGACTAATCAAACGGAACTAGACCGTAAATATGGAAGACTGAACAAGAACGGATGCTCTTGAATTATAATGTTGTTGAAGAATGTTGACTAGACTGCCAGAAGCCAAATAAATCTGTCTTGGAAGTATAACCAGAATTCTTCTTAGAAGCACGGATAGCAAGACTTTGTGTCATGCACTTTGAACATATTATCAGGAAGTATAAGTCTCTGATGAAGGAAAGTCAAGGATCAATGAAAAATTGAAAGACTTTTGCAAGATGATATGGAATAGTGGCCCCAACACAATGATTGTGGGAATGGTGTAGGATTAAGTAATTTTTTTTATTTTATTTTTTCTTTTGTACAAAGGGGTCTCTATGAATCATAAATAACCAGAAAAATAGCAACAATAAATCAGAGCTATTTTTACAACTATATTAAAACTGTTAAGAAATTATTACAGGTCAGATGTAGTACTTAATCATGATGTGTTAATAATTGCACTTGTCCTGATCTGTTTAATAAGCAGCCTTGTTGTTGTTTTTCTTGTTATATGCCATCAAGTCACATGAGATTCATAGCAACCCTATGTACAATAGTTCTGAAACTTGTTCTATGATGAGCCAAACTCACTGTCTCTGACAAACCTACCTCTATTACCCTAGACTGAGTCAATCCATCTCATCGAGGGTCTTCCCTTCCTGCTTTGTCCCTCCACCCTCCCAAGCATAATGTCCCTCTCCAGGGACTGGTCCCCTCCTTACAACATACAAAGTATGTCAGAAGAAGCTTCAGAATTCTTGCCTCCAAGAAGAAGCCTGGTTTCACACTCTCTAGGGCAAACATGTTTGTTCTCTTATCAGTCATGATGTATTCAATACTCTTCTTTAGCACCACAGCTCAAAAGGATATGATTATATGTCAGATGCAATATTTGATCATGATGAATAAGTAAATGTACTTTTCCTGATATGTTTAATAAGCAGCCTTACCAATACCCATAACTCAGAGTAATATAGAAGTCAGAACACCTTTGTGTTTATTTTACAAGTCTGTATACTACTATAGAGAGAGCTTTGGCGATCTAGTGGTAAGAAGTTGCAATCCCAAAGGCACCTGGTTCAAACCCACCAGATGTTCTGCACAAAAAGCATAGTAATCGTCTGTGTTATTTACTGCTTCTAATAATATGTTGGAAGGTCAGCTAGTGGTTGGTTTTGCTTTGACGACACACAAAACAAATAACCTACTATTATTAGGATAAGAAAGAGTTATTCATTTACATGAATCATCCAAATGTCCTTTAGACAAATTCATTTTACAATTAATGTCGTCAAGTCATGTCAAAATATATCTCATGAGTTCAACTTCAAACTCAGAAAATGTGCCTTAATTTTTCCTAAATCAATTTCTATAGCTTACAAAAATAGAAGTATAAAAATATACAATTTTTATATATGATTGAAATTTTTAAGATTAATTAAGTTAGACTTCAGTTTTATAGTAAAGTATGTTTAAAATATAGTATTAATGAAATTAATTTATAATTTATTCTATGACAATCGGTGGTGTTTATCATTAATCTATCAATAACTATAGAACAATATCATTAATTTCACATGCAAACAAGATTCTACTGCAGATTATCCAAAAATGACTGGAACAGCACATCAGCAGAGAACTGCCAGAAGTCCAGACTGGGTTTAGAAGGGGTCGTGGTACTAGGGATATCGTAGCTGCTGTTAGATGGATCTTAGCTGAAAGCATGGAATACCAGAAGAATGTCTATCTGTGTTTCATTGACTATGCAAAGGTGTTTGACTGTGTGGATCATAACAAACTGTGGCTGACTCTGAGAAGAATAGGAATGCCAGAACACTTGATTATGCTAATGCGAAACCTATACTTGGACCAAGAGGCAGTTGTCAGAACAGAGCAAGGAAACACTGCATGGTTCAAAATTGGGAAGGGTGTATGCCAGGAATGTGTCCTATCTCCAAATCTTTTCAACCTGTATGTAGAAAAGATTATCCAAGAGGCTGAGCTCTATGAGGAGAAGTGTGACGTCAGGATTGGTGGAAGATCCATCACCAATCTGCGTTATGCAGATGACACAACCTTCCTTGCTAAAACTGAGGAGGACCTGAAACGCTTGCTGCAGAGAGTCAAGGACTGCAGCTGTCAGTATGAATTGAGGCTCAATGTTAAGAAGACAAAGATTCTCACCAATGGACCAACTGGCAGCATCAGGATGGATGGTGAAGAAATTGAGAAGCTTGGCTCCACAGTCAACACTCTTGGCACCAGTAGCCAGGAAATTAAAAGATGTATTGCAATGGGAAAGTCTGTTGTTAGGGATCTATCCAAAGACTAAGGTGTGTCTGATACAGTCCATGGTCTTTGCAATCACTTGCTATGCATCAGAGAGCTGGACAATAACTAAGGAGGATAGAAGGAGAATTGATGGCTTTGAGATGTGGTGCTGGAGAAGAGTATTGAGGATACCATGGATTGCCAAGAAACAAACAGATTCATCCTGGAGAGGGTTAAACCAGACTGCTCCTTGGAGGCAAGGATTCTGGGGCTTTGTCTGACATACTTCGGACATGTTGTAAGGAGGGACACAGGTCCTTGGAGAGGGACATCATATTTGGGAGGGTGGAGGGATTGTGCAACAGTGGAAGATTCTCTATGAGGTGGATTGATTCAGTGACTGGGGCAACCGCGATAGGTGTGTCAGAGGCAGTGCATTTGGCACAGGATAGAGCAGGGTTTAGGGCTGTTGTACATATGGTCGCTATGAATCACAAGTGACTCAACGTCACATAACAACAACAACAGTTTTCTATATTCTAGTCTTCATTCTAGTACTAGAAATACATCAAGCCACCAGCAAACTAGAAAACCTAACCAGAAATATTTGTGATCCCTTAATTCTTAGACTTGATATTAATTATTTTACAGAGAAACCACGTGAAGCATGCTTTGATCCTGGGAACATAATGAATGGAACAAGAATTGGAACAGACTTCAAGCTGGGCTCAACAATTACTTACCAGTGTGATTCTGGATATAAGATTGTTGATCCTTCATCCATCACATGTGTGATTGGTACAGATGGAAAACCAGCCTGGAACAGAGTTTTACCCTCCTGTAATGGTATGTATGGTTCTGGCTGAAAGCAAAATTTCATCTTTCTGTATTTTTGTTTAGTCAAGGGTTTCTGATAATGTTATTCGGTGCTATCCCATGGCAAAAATACACTGACAAGAGAGTTGACTCTTAAGATTTCCTAGGTTGTAATTTAATTGGTGGGATCTCAAGTGGCACAGTGGTAAAAAGCTGTGCTACCAACCCAAAGACATGCTGTTCAAATCCACCATCTGACTGCTTTTCAGAAGAGAGAAGAGCAGTCTCCTCATACGTGATTTACTGCCTCAAAACACCTACTGGAGGGTTAGCTATGAGTTTGTTTCTTGTTTGCTTGTTGGTACAGAACAACAACAACTTTATGGGAGCCTTTTTTCTAGAGAGCTGAATGGGTCTCACGTAAAACTACTGTGTAATTAATATTTTGTAGTCCTTGGTAGCTTAATTCGTTACTGTTGTTGTTGTGTAGAGTTTGAACCGATCTATAGCTGACCCTCTGGAACGTTTTCAGAGGGAGTTAATTGCAGGGAAGGAGATACATATGCTTCTCCTGCCTCGAACCATGTGACTTCGGGACTGCAGTGCAGCTTCTTGCTACTAGGCCACCAGAGCTCTTCAGTTTAATTTAGCTAGTGTAATAATCATACATTTTTGAAGGGTAATTCTTTTTCTTTCACTTTAATGTTTTTAAATCCTGTTTTCTTTTGTTGATATTGCTTTTATTTTATTACAACTTTGCGACCTTAAATTAACAATTCTTAGTTTTACATACTCCTTGTGCTTTACTGAAGAGCAATGGTATCTCTCTGGAGACTAAGGTACGTCTGATGCAGGCCATGGTCTTCGCAATCACTTGTTATGCATCAAAGAGTTGGACAATGACCAAGGAGGATAGAAGGAGAATTGATGCCTTTGAGCTGTGGTGCTGGAGAAGAGTATTGAGAATACCATGGACTGCTAGGAAAACAAACAGATTTGTCCTGGAAAGGGTTAAACCGGGTGGCTCCTTGGAGGCAAGGATTCTGAGGCTCTGTCTAACATACTTTGGACATGTTGTGAGGAGAGACCGGTCCTTGGAGAAGGACATCATGCTTGGGAGTGTGGAGGGACAGCGCAGGAGAGGAAGGCCCTCTATGAGGTGGATTGATTCAGTGACTGGGATAATTGGGATGGGAGTGTCAGAGACAGTGCGATTGGCACAGGACAGAGCAGAGTTTAGGGCTATTGTACATAGGGTCGCTATGAGTCGCAAGTGACTCGGCTGCACATAACAACAACAACAGGTTTACATACATATGTATGTATCTTATTAACAAAGAATTTACTGATCTTGAGTTGAAATTCACAGTTGACTTTCCAGTGGGTTTGTGGAGGCTGTAAATTATATGGGAGGAGATTGTCTATAGTTTACCCAAGAAGATGCTGATGGATTCAAGCAACTTGCCTTTGGATTAAAATGCATATCTTTAACCATTAAATATCCCATTCTGGTGACCGACTGGGTAATATATTAGGCTACTAACCAAAAAGTCAGAAGTTCAAATTCAATAGCTTCTTTTAGAATGAAAGCATGCCAGTCTTCCATAAAGATTTAGAGCCTTGGATTGCAGAGGGAGGTCACTATGACTTGGAATAAAGTCAATGATAGTGGGTAAACAACATATACAGGTTGGGAGGAGGGTGTTAATCATAGGTTGCACAATTTGATAGGTGGAGGAAGGGGTGGATAAAGGAAATGGAAAGATCCCATGTGAAAAAACAATAGATATGAACTTTTTAATTAAACAAGTATAAAATATTTTTATTTAACTTAAAAAGTAACAAAAGAAGCAAACAATACCAAAGGACTTTATATGTTATATTACATCTATGTTTCATTATGTCTAGTGATCCTGAAAATTTTTAAACACAGAAATCATGTCTAGTAATAGTTGCTTATATAAAACAGGAAATTCATATGTTTCTAAATTAAATTAATTAAAAAACAAGGCAGCCTATTAAATCTTCCTAGTATCATATTTTTTACCCTTTACTAATAATACATGGTGACAATTCTCAGATTTCAGAAGTTATATAAAAGCAAACCATTTGGGCAAAAGGAAGTAAATATTCTGTGTCCACTGCAAATATGGTACATAAGGTTAAAAATTTTTTGAGGGATAAGTATATCTAAATTTAACAATGAGATTTGATTCAGTAGTGTCATAGTCTTCTTCATTAGAAGAGCAAGATACCATTCTAATATACTCATGATAATAGCTTTACACCTCTGTTTAAAATATATAATTGGTCCTGTGTGTTTTTCTTTGTAAAAAAATAATCTGTTTCTACAACCTAATATATGTACAGCAGTATTTGAAAATGACTAGGGTTGACAGTGAGTGCCTGAATTAATTCAGTCTAGTTTTATTCTAGTCCAGCTCTATTCTTAACTAAATGAACAAAACAGAAAAATTATTCTAAACCACTGAACTTCAATATACTTTGTATAAGAGTAATAATGCTATCTACTAATATCCATTATGCTGTTTTGTTGTTGTTGATTGCCTTCTAATGGAGCACAACTCATAGTGACCCTATGAACAAAAGGCCTGAAGCCCCTCTAAAACTATCAGCATTTATCAAAGTTCAGAGGCATGTCATTTAAGAAGGAGATGCCACTCCTGCTTCCAAACTTGCCATAGTATGTTATGTGCCATTTAGTAGCCTGTGATGTATAGCGACCCTATGTACAGCAGCTCTGAAGCCTTCCCTGTCCTCAACCAGTCTCACTAACTCTGACACACCAACCCCCTGTGCCCCAGTTACTGTATCAATCCATCACATCTGGGGTCTCTCTTTCCTGCGTTGTCCTCCACCCTTCCTTCTACAAGGACCAATCTCTCCCGGCCATGTGCCCAATGGAAGTCAGGTGGAGCTTCAAAATCCTAGCCTCCAAGGTGATACTTGATTCCACCCTCTCCAAGACAGACCTATTTGTTTTCTTGGCAGTTCATGATATGTTCAAGACTCTTCTCTAGATCCACAACTCAAAGGCATCTATTC